CTTGTATATAGTATAACCTCATTGTTGTAAAGCGCTTTGGAATATTTTATATAATTTAAGCGCTGTATAAATCTTTATATATTATTATTATTATATTATTACCTTATACCATCAAGCATAAGAGACTAGTCGAAAATGTCCAGCGGAGGGCAACAAAGTTTATTCTTGACTATCCACAGGACCTAACGTATGCCGACAGACTCGCGAAGATCAAGATTCTTCCTCTTGAGTTCAGAAGAGATATCTCAGACTTATGCCTACTTTTTAAATCTAGAACTGGAGCAATTACTGATGTGCACAAATATATATGTACTTTTGAACCTGGATACCAATCAAGAAATTATGATAAAACAACTATAATCTTATAATTAAACACAAGCAGGACTATTTTAGAAATTCTTTCTTCATTAGAACGGTTGAACTATGGAACACTCTACCGTCTCATGTCAAATCCTCCAATTCTTTAAGTATTTTCGGGTCTCATCTTCATAAGTTGTATTCTACTAAGTTATCGCATTACGTACCTCCGGCCACTGCGTGATCAGCGTCTACGCATTGCGATTTGTTGAACCGTCATCCGGCCATTTTCATCATATTTACAAATATGTTATAAATTGACTCGTGATTTCCAAATTGATTTTGAATAATTCATAATTGTAATCTGCATAGTGGGTAAGTCGCAGTGTGTAAACGTTCAGTACTTTTATAGTCACGATTCAAACCTTAGCTAGTATAAATTGTTATAACTAATGTGTTATAACCTGTTCTTTATCTTTATTTATATTTAACGTCTTTTTAGAGATCGGATTAGGTGTCAATTGGGACGAGAGTCCTGTTCCTTTCCCCTGTCACGATTTGTATCTGTCTTTATTTGTCACGATTTGTATCTATCTTTATTTGTATCATGTATAAAGTGACAAATTCATTACATTATTATATTATTATTATTAAATAGTTGTTCTAAAAAATTGTGTTCGGAAATTTTTGTTTATCTTGTCATTCCGCTGATATGGCGATTTCTTTGACGACTGCAATATATTTCTGAATTGTTTGAGTGAATTGCTCTTTATTTTTAAAATATCCAAAATTAAAAAAAAGCCGAACACGATTTTGAAACTGACGTCTTTAGCTATGTCCTGAAAATCAGTAAATACCGTAAAATTTTTTGGGAGAAAATTGCATTTGAATATTACATTTTCAATGTTTTTCTTATTGCAGCGAAATGTATTTTATTAAATAACTCTGCGAGTTTTCAACATTTTTCGTTCAAACTTGGTCAGATAGTAGAACTAGTCTAATGCTTTCATGGAAACCAATAAAAAAATTTTAGGCAAAATTAACACTCAAAGGTGTTCTGTAACCTTAAATTCTCGAAATCCTCAGGACCCAAAACGTTAACAGACGCACCACTGTCCACCATCATTTTCATCGGGACTCCATTATCACGGACCGTAGAATAGGGATGCTTACAGTTCTTTGTTGTGCTTGTTGAACTGTGAACATATTGTTCTGAACCGCTGTCTGAGTCACTACTCGAATTACTTGTTGATTTGTGGGTTAATGAATGCCGTTCATCAACCTTATTAACACGCTGGAATGAACTAGTACCTCCTCGGGTTGTTTTACATACACGAGCAAAATGCCCCCTTTTATGACACTTGTAACATTCTTTACCTACAGCTGGACATTTCTGGTTATCCTTGTGTGGAAACCCCAGTCCACATTTAAAACGTTTCTTACTAGATGATGACGAGTACTTACTGGTTGTTCTAGGTCTTCGGTGATCCTGTTGTAATTGATTAGTATATTCCTCATTACCATCAGAAATGTCCTTTTTTATAATTTCCTTTGTTTGTTGGTCTGTACGAGCTAATGCTCTTCCATAATCTAATACTTGTGACAGGGTAAATGTTTTTTCCATTAAAATCTTTCGTCGCAATATGTTAGATAAACATCCTTCAATTATTTGTTGTTTCAGCTCAGTATCTGTGTCTGCAAATTCACATGTTTTGGCCAAAGTACATAATCTAGTATAATATGCATCTAATGTCTCATGTTCTTGTTGCTTAGCTTGACGAAATTTATATACCTCGAAAGGTACATTCTTAGAAGGACTAAAATATTCAGTGAGCCTTTCACACGCCGTCTTAAAGTCATATTCGTCAC